AGTAATGATGCTGAAAATTCAGCTTTGCATCACAGGAATAAAAAACAGTTTACAATATATTCAAATAGAAAACAGTGATTTTAAATTGTAATAATATTTCACAATATCAGTGTTTTTACTGTATTTTTGATCAAATAAATGCAGTCTAGTTGAGCATAAGAGACATGAAAAAATTCTTACCATTCCCAAACTTTTGAACATTTTTGTAGCTCACATAGGGGGGTCTTATAATATTATCTTGGACAATGGCCTTGAGAGTCAAAAGTGCTGAGAATCACTTTTCTAAAGACTCACTGTTTTGGACAACGTCTTGCATCTTCTTCCAGGCTCTGAATGGCAGGTTGCCCAGGTAACGTGCCACGTTAATCAAAGCTCCAGAAGCCAGCTGTGGATCCGACCGTAAGCTCTGGACTCTGGAAGAACATTCAGGAGTCAGAACTGCAGTGGGTTTGTGACGTGTTCAGAACCATAGACACAAAGGACACGAACAGATCACTCACCTTTCCATCGCATCTGGAAAGTTCTGGAAAATAAATAGACAATTTATCTCCTCAAGTAACCAATACCTGCAGTGATCAATTAATGAATCAATTATCTGAACTGGGACCTTTAGAAACAAGACTTCATTGGCATTCATCATCTTCTCCAAGTCTCTGATTGTGTGTGAAAGAGCTGAGATGTGTCTGTTGATCTCCTCAAACTTCTCCTGCATCATCCGATTCTTCTGCTCCTTTTCCTCCCTCAGTGCAGTGATTGCAATTTCTTCTTCATCTCTGAGAAACTGATGAAGCTTCTCAAACTCCAGTTTAATCTGACACTCCGTGTGCTCCGCTTGAGACTGAAATGAAAAGTGACATGTGAAAATCTGACCTTTTCTGTGTTTAAGCGCTATAATCCGATCCCCGGTGAATTTATCAACCCAGAAAACGTGAAAAAGAACAACCCAGTAATTTGTTTTGGTAAGCCTTTCTCTGCAAGCTTGTGAAAAAACGAGCGCGCCAGATTTCGCTCCCCCCATGATGTAGAAAGGGGATCTTATTATAATATTACCACCCCTTAAAGGGTTAGTTCACCCAAAATTGAAAATTCTGTCATTAA